GCTCTTTCCTGTCATTTCTGGGTAGAGCAAGCTTAAGTTGGGGATGCCTGTATTTAAACTGTAGCCTGGAAGTTCTTGTAACCAATATCGGGGTCTGTAAATCCTGTAAACTTCAGACCTGGCTCCATTCATGCTCTACCAATATCCATCTTGGCCCAGCCTCTGAGAACTAAGTTCTGCCTTGGTTTCATTCATGAAAACAAAGCTACTCTAACAGCTGACCACACCAGTCCTTCTCTCAACTATGCCTTGATTCCACATGTCAGGCTTGCCCTAGGGCCCAATGTTTTTAAAAGCAACTGATGCGTCAGCTGTTCAGCTTATTGATTCCTAGACTTAACAGCTAGCCATGGAGTGATGGAACCTTGCCAAGGTGTGGTACAATGGGGGCATACACCGAAGGGTATGGATTGGAGGTACCAAGAAAAGCAGCACTTATTTTGATGGGAAATATTATGAATACGTTATGCTAATTCCATGAAAATGGCAACTTACAGACCCTTTTTTCATCATCACATATAGTCAACATGTTCCAATTTTTCCAAGTTTCGTTATCTAGCAGCAGTTTTTCAAAGTGACATTTTACACAACCAGATTTAAACAACCAGAAACTTGGCATGTAAGATGACTCAGAATTTCTTTATTTTATTTTTTCTAATCTTCAGTTAAAGACTTCCCTAAGAAAACAGACAATAGGTTAATCTATTATTACTGTTGTTGTTGTTGTTGTTATTAATCTATTATTGTATTGATACATTTGCTTCCTCATTTGGTAAACTGATAATAATTTTTATGTTAGGAACCAAAACAGATAAGCTTAAGACAACAAAACATACATTGGCTAAGTGTGTTACGTTGGTCACAAAAACATATTTTCACCCCAAACAAATGAAATGAATTTTTCTAAGTTTTAACTTTCTTCTCTTCTTTCAGCTTGTTAGCATTAAAAATGTTATTAGATGTTGTCTGAAATGTGTTTACATTCAACAGTTATTGTGACCAACATAACACCGAAATGTGCAATTCTCCCAACCTCCTCCCGCCCCGAGCCAAATTTGGGACCCAGCGGGGAGCAGAACGGAGGAAACTCCTGTTGTGCAAGTTGAAGCCTTTGCACAGGGTTTCCACTGACAGGGTTTGTTAGGTGAATCCCACCCAAGATCAAACTACTGAAGTCCAAAGGAATCGTGGGCAGAGCAAAATTAAGAAAACCTTACCTATTTTGTGCCACTTGTTACATTTCGTAGAAATTCTACTGAAACTGTATGCTAGAGATCTGGGACTTCCACCCTAAGAAATTTTGCCAGTAGTATTATAAATAATATTACATTTGAAATTTCAACAGATGTATCACAAGAGCAGGGCACTCCAGATTCACCACAAGTTCAATTTTAGTCAAAATGCAAGAGCAACTTGAGAGATGTGGGAGATTTCACTGTGCCATTTTTCAGGTTACAGCTACAAAGTTACAGATTTTGTACTGTCTGTTCCTCTTCAAAAACGTTCTACTGAAACCATGCCCTGGAGGAAACCCTGCTGACGAATTATGCTGACCTTACCGAAAATCTGTTGATTACCATGAGGATGCATACAGGTGTTTTGCTGCGGTAGAGCCCTCCGAAGTAACCTCAAGTGAATTCAGGCAAAATTTGGCAGGAACGCAAACATATGCTAGTTTGTTATTGTTGCCTAATTGTTCATTCTAAATTAACTCTATGCTTAAAGGCCTCAGTTGCAGTGAACTTGCTTTGCCTACTGAATGTTTTGGATAACTGAAATGCATACATTTCAATCACGTTTTCTTGCTAATGTATTGGTACACTGGCAGTTCATGAACATTCAGGGTACGTTCCGATGTGGGGATTATTGTGGGGTTTAGTATTCCTTATTATAATTCTAGTATTTCTAGCCTGGATTCCAACATTCCTTTTAACCTGTTGCATCATGGAACAGTGGGTTTTTGCTCAATATAGCGCCACGCCCTGCCAAATTTTAAATGGCAGGAAAGAACTGCATGCTGGCAAACTGCTCCAAATTCCATCACATGACAAGACAAAATTCCTGGCATTCCCAGGGTTAAAGCGGTCACAATCAGATGCTTTCTGGAACCAAAGAAGGTGGCAAGGAATGCTAAACGTTTGCTGGAGTCCACTAGTTTTCCAGAAGTGAAAATAACACAAAATGTTAATGACATGTGACAAATCACACAAAATGTGGAAAAGATGCTTCAAATCTAGCGTAAGGTAAAGGTAAAGGTACCCCTGACTGCTAGGTCCAGTTGTGGCCGACTCTGGGGTTGCGGCGCTCATCTCACTTTACTGGCCGAGGGAGCCGGCATTTGTCCGCAGACAGTTTCCAGGTCATGTGGCCAGCATGACTAAGCCACTTCTGGCGAACCAAAGCAGTGCACGGAAACACTGTTTACCTTCCCACCAGAGTGGTACCTATTTATCTATTTGCACTTGACATGCTTTCGAACTGCTAGGTGGGAAGGAGCTCGGACCGAACAATGGGAGCTCACCCCGTCATGGGGATTCGAACTGCTGACCTTCTGATCGGCAAGTCCTAGGCTCTGTGGTTTAGACCACAGCGCCACCCGCGTCCAATCTAGAGTAGCTAAACATAAATAAAACATGTGTAACTGCTACATGACTGGAGAGGCTTACCTATGCCAAAAATTTTAAGCAACGCCTGCCTGATGGCAATAGGCAGATGGAGTTCCTACATGGGTATCAGGATGCTGTCAGTGGCTCCCGGCTGGTTGCATTGGAAAGTATAAAGACAAGGAAAAGTTTCTGTCCTATTTTGTTTCATTCCTTACAGAGAGAGGCTATAGAACACAGCCTCTTGGGTAATGGCGTTGTCCCGAGTGAATCTCTCCTCCCTGTCTCTCCCACTTCCTCTTTCATCATCATCATCATCATCATCATCTCCTCTACGGGTGCTGCTAAGTGCCCTTTGTCTTCGAGCTCTTTGATCTCCTACTTTTAAGGCTTGCTGGGTTCTGGGAGATGGAGGGTCTGGAATGCTTTCCAATGACAGCATGTCAGCTGGGTGTTCTTCTGGCTCTCCCATTATTTCCCTATTTCCCCCCTCATCTGTCTCTGAGCTGTGACCTCCCACAAACCCCTGTTGTAACTCTATATTGTCTTCCTCTTCCTCCTCTCTGGAAGGGTCAGGATAGGGAGGCAGTCTCCACCATTCCTCCTCTGCCCAGTCCCTGACAATGGGATGGACAGTAAATTGGGGAAGGAGGGATCAACACCTTCAAGTAGGTATGAAAGGTTTTTATCAATTACATGTAACTACTCTTTATATTTTATTGTGCATTTATTTTGCCTTCACCACATACATACCCCAACTTTTTTGCAGTGAGCTCAAAGCAGCACATGTGCTTAGCTCTCTCTTCTCCATTTCACAGTCCTGTAAGGTAGATTAAGCAGAGACAGTGATTGGCTGTAAATTTCATGGCTGACTACATACTTGAACCTAGAACTCCCCATTCTTAGTCTGGTACTTCAATCATTGTACCTAGATACAACCAATAAAACTTCTTGGAGCACTAGAAAATCAGAGAACTAAGCCCAAAAATGGCTTTTTAAAAAAGTTATATCTATATGATGTAACAAAAAAATAATTCCTATTATACAATTTAAGATAATGTGTTTTAATTTCTTCTTAATTTCTCTTATGTAATCCCTTTTCTTACATAAACTACAGTGATTCACTTTAGAGGTGAGCAGATCTCTTGTTGAAGAATACCCAGGCATGATATAAAACCACCTTAAAACTACACAAGCCAATGTGTAATGATACTATGGGTGTCGTAGCTGACACATGGTGCCCTCCAGTTACTGTTGGACTACAACTCCCATTGTTCCTGACCATTCACCAAGCTGCCTGGAGCTGATGGATGTTGTAGTCTCTTCAACGTCTGTAGGGCATTGTGGTGGCTACTCCTAGATTAGTGGCTGAGAGGCTGATCAGTTGCATAGAGCAACATGTCATATGCACATGTCAGTGACTACAGATCCAGCTACTGACACCAGCAGACATCACTGTCCATTCAGCTACTGGCTGATTCCACTGGCTACAGCACCACCCATCTCCATCTCCATTGCTCAGAGCTATTATTATTATTATTATTATTATTATTATTATTATTATTTCAATTTATATACCACCCTATACCTGGAGGTCTCAGGGTGGTTCACAGAACAGAAGGTTTCCCTCTGATGGCACATAGAAGCTGCTTGCAGCTTTGTCCAGTAAGTCATCTCACTGCTCAGTACTGAAACTGGGAGCAACATGCCAGGCCATTTGGATCTTTCTTTTGAGACGCCTTTCAAGGTACATTGAAGTAGGGTGTGTGCTTCATGCATTTATTGCTGTATTCAGTTCTTTTCCTTTCTCATAGTGGATAGAAATACCTGGAAAACATCAGGTGTGAAGTCAGTTGGGGATGGAGGTGGGGGAGAGATGTAGTTAATAAGAGGTCCCTTTTATTTCCCCCCTAAATGTTTGTTGGTTTATAAAAAAAATCCTTTCTATTATGCAGTTTGGCACTTAAAAGGGCCCCCAAGGTGGCTTATGAATATAAAATAAAAATGCAACCGATAATAAAAACAGGGAGTGTATAAAAACAGTGTGAATTAAAATGAAATCAATCAACAGAGGGACTCAGACTAAACCAAACACCTGGTGATATAAAACAGTTTTCACAGCTCACTGGAAGATGAAAAGACTGAGAGCTGGTCAAAACTGCAAAAAACAAAAAAGCAAAAGCAAACAAACCTTTCTTTCTTTCTTTCTTTCTTTCTTTCTTTCTTTCTTTCTTTCTTTCTTGGATGACAAGCATACACATCCCTTTTTTCTGATGGCACACAGGAAACAAATACATACAAGTATGTTCTTTCTCTTGCATGGATATCCTTAAAACAAGCATGGAGAAAAATGTTTTTTCTTCTTTTATAGTTGCAGCCACAACTCACACAGGAAACATAAATACGGTTTCCTTCTCTCTCTCTCTCTCTCTCTCTCTCTCTCTCTCTCTGTGTGTGTGTGTGTGTGTGAGAGAGAGAGAGAGAGAGAGAGAGAATGGGGGAGAGAAAGAGTGAGCACAGGAAGGCAGTTGGGTGGTCAGATATGAAGAGCGAGATGGCTCTTGTACCTTTCAACAGGTACTACAGCATGAAAGGAATATTAGAAAAAGGGACAGAAATGCTTGCCTTATAATTAGGAAAACTAATGCAATATTTTCTACTTCCTAATCTAACTAGTGTGCATATAGGAATTACAGTATTGGCCCAAATATAAGCCGCACTTTGTTTCCAAATTCCGACCGTGAAAAGTTAAAGTGCGGCTTAAATTCCCCACCTTACAAAAATTGGCTTTTTATAATATCACTGCTGAAACAGACATACAGTAAAATGGAACGGGTGTGAGTGCCTGCAGAATATTAAGGGAGCAGCTTATATTCGGGTATTGTCTCCCCCCCCTTGAATTTTAAAGGTGTGGCTTATATTCGGGTGCAGCTTATATTCGGGCCGATACAGTACCTTTGCAGATGCCAATTCCTAACTTGTGGAGGAAGAAGAGTTTGGTTTTGATGCCCCGCTTTATCACTACCCGAAGGAGTCTCAAAGCGGCTAACATTCTCCTTTCCCTTCCTTCCCCACAACAAACACTCTGTGAGGTGAGTGAGGCTGAGAGACTTCAGAGAAGTGTGACTAGCCCAAGGTCACCCAGCAGCTGCATGTGGAGGAGCGGAGACGCGAACCCGGTTCACCAGATTACAAGTCTACTGCTCTTAACCAATACACCACACTGGCTCTTGTGGATGTCACGGGTTTGGTTGGGAAAGGTGTGCAGGAGCAAGCCTGTAGCAAATCACACTGTACACTCTTTATTAACTCTTTATTAGCAAAAATGCAATCTGCACTTGTTGGAGTACCAGGCCTAATAAGCACAGTAACTCATCTTCATCAGGTCTTGCCCCCATGAAGCAGTTGCTGAGACTGACAGCCCCTGCCTCCCCACAGCCATCATCCGGTTTCCCCCCAAGCAATCAGAGACTGCACTGGCACGCAAACAATTTCTCCTCTACCCTTTTCATGCCTCTACTGGTTCTGGGACAAGTGGGGAGGGGAGCTTGTCACAGCAAGTGAGGGTGGAGACACCTGTGACTTTTCACCAGCCTGACTCATCTCTGCCTCTTGGCCTCCCTCATTCCATGCATCTGCTTGAGCTTCTGCCTCTGATTCTGGACTTCTCTCTGCCATGTAGTCGTCCCGCTCACTGTTACCTCTTCAGCTTCCAACCCCTCCGCCTCCCAGTCTTCTCCCTCTGACCACTCATTGTTGTCCCACCACTACTCCCCAGGCTCTGAGCCTTCTTCCCTTGGGGGTTTCCCAACTGCATCCAACCACTGCATGACAACAGTGTGGAGACCCTTTTCAAGTGAGTAGTGCATGAAAGAGGCTCCTGACTTTGCTTGATCTTCCAAAAGTGGGTTTACATGTTATGATGGCCAGACAGGCTCTTAGAAGGTCTGGAATTTGAGAGGAAAAAACACAGAAAACAAAGTATCTTGGGCATTATGAGACAGAAAAGCTGCTTCATCAGAAGTACTGAGTGAAGTACGTCTATTTCTGAAAAATAAGAAAACTAATCTGTACCATAATTTGACTAGTATTGTACATATCTCCCCACCCAACTGGACAATGTCTGCACTAGCAGATTTATGCAAACTGTATTCCCCACCCACCACTACTCATATTTTGGAAATACTTGAGCAGAGCTGTTTGGGAAAAGGAAGAAAGGGTACTAGGTTTAGTACTTCCCTTCTCTTGTGTCCCTGCTGAAAACAGCTGATTGGTGCAATTTCTGCCTTTTTTTTAGCCAGCCACAATTGCACAGCAGCATTGGTGCCTGTTCAAATAACCTTCTGATCTTTTCTCTTCTAGATGCATATTTGTTCCAGTAAATGAATGCAATTCATTTTTTCCTCTGCTATTTTTTCAGTCAAAGAATTTATTGCCCCCCCCCCCATCTCAAGTTCTTTGCTGTGAAGTGCAAATTAAATCTCAGAACTTCAGTGGCTTTCCTCCCCTTGCTTTCCCCAGAGTTCTGGTCACAAAGGTCTCTGAGGGGCAAACAAAAAGTTTCTGCCTTGTACAAAAGGATCGATTTGGCTTGTGCAAATGAATGGAATATAGAGCTGTAGATTCCAAAACTGTATTGAGCTTATGTAAGTATTTACATAAGTATGGTAAGCTGGAGATAGAATTTGAAGATATTTGGTTTACATTGCAAGAATATGCCAATGGAGATTATGCGGAAAGCTGACCTCGGAGACAGATTTTGAATTTTCATGTTTGCATCAATTTAGGCTCAAATGGAAGCTCCCTGGCTCAGATTCACTTGCCAGCATATAAACTCTTGAGACTCTTATTCCTTTAAGGAGCTGATTCATACACTACATTAAAAAATGACAACACAAAAAACAGCTATTGCAGGGATAAAGCAAACTCCAGGAAAAAGCATGGCAAAGTAGTGCTACAAGGCTCTGGGTGGGTATCAGAGAAAGGCCTTTGGAAGAAGGACCTATAGAAGGGGACAGTTGGAGGAGCAGGGTCCCTACATGAAATTCAGGGTAGAAAGGGTCTCCCAGGGTGAGAGACTGAGAAAAGAAGTAGGCTCCCAGGTGGGAGATGGGAGGGTCTTCCACTCTCTGTGTGTATAAATGGTAGGATATATATGATATACGGTAAATTTGATGAAGGGCATCAGGGCGGTCTTAAGCATATCCACCGCTGCGGTGCAAAGATTCCTCCGGCACCCCCCCCAATTTCCCAGAGTTGTCAACCTTTTCCCAAGCTTCTGCAGGGATCACTGTCCTCCCATATTGTTGGTGGGGTGCAGCTTCCATCCTAAGCCTCTGCTGGGATCACTCTTCTCCCATGGAGGCTTGGGAGGCAAGCTGCATGCCCGCCAGTCATATGGTTGACGAGGCAAAGCTGGCGGGCGTGCAAGGAAAGGGGAGGCCGCCGGCAGAGCCGCACAGCTCCCCCACTTGCTAGGGCGCCCCTGAGAGGCCGGCGCCCTGGCGCAACGTGCCACTAAGCCCAATAGGAAAGATGGCTCTGAAGGGCATTATCTTCTGTAGCAGCTAGTAGTAGACAAATAAAACCAAGGGCCATTTGCTAAGACTTGGATTTTCCAATATATTCCTCATAGGCAGTTATTGCATCAGGGACCATTGTTTGCATCTAGTTAGTGCTCTTACTATCAACATTTAAATAACTGGACAGGGAGCAGTTATGGGATATAAACAAGCACACGAATGATCAAATATGTGTACTAAGTAAGATGGAATTCTATCACCTATCTGTGGGTCCAGAAAAGAGATATGGGTTGTGATTTCAAAGAAAGTGCTATTAAGTGCTGAGGTCATTGCACAGGGCAGTGTAGAAGTACAGTGATACCTCTAGTTACGAACTTAATTCATTCTGGAGGTCCGTTCTTAACCTGAAACTGTTCTTAACTAGAGGTGTGCTTTCGCTAATGGGGCCTCTTGCTGCTGCTGTGCCACCGGCACACAACTTCCATTCTCATCCTGGGGCAAAGTTCTCAACTCGAGGTAACACTTCCAGGTTAGCGGAGTTTGTAACCTGAAGCATTTGTAACCTGAGGCATTCGTAACTCGAGGTACCACTGTATAATAAATGTTAAGAAAATAATACATGTGTAGAGAATAGAAAATTGAACTATTATTATTCTTAGGGGGGGAACATGACAGAGTTAAACACCAAGAAAGTAGGTTATGTGATAATTAGTGGAACTTACTTTCAAGTTAATGGTATTAGGAGGGACTGAGGTGTCAGCCCCACTGACATTCAACAGGGCTGAGTCATCACAGATCCAACAATAATTCTGATTTAGCTACCCTGGTTTGAGGACTGGGCCAGCGGTATCCTAAGACACTCTTTCAAGCTCTGTATTGGTAGCTGAACCACACTAATGACAGTAAATGAAAAGAATTGCAAGGGATCTCTCTCTCAAATAAAAAGAGAGATTGTAATACATTCATCAAACATGCAAAGGCTAAAGGATCAAGTTGAACGTGACACTGCCTCATGCTGTATAATAGCACTCTGCCGTCGTCTCACACAATGCTCACTTTGATGTGCGGCTCATAAAATGCTGCTTTACAAAATGCGGCGCCTCCTTAGTTATTTTCCAATTGATTTGATTTCCTCAATAGCAGTAAGTATACGGAGGCTCCTAACGAGTGGTAATTAATGTATTCAAGACTCTCACTTTTGTGACAGGCTAGCGTGAGAGTGACAGCGAGAGGAGAAGAAACAGAATAGAATTGGATGCTGGAAAGAGATTATTTCCATTTAAAGTAACTTGCAGCTCTTCGGCTCTTGACTTACACGTTATGTGACAGCGAAGAAGCTGTTCCGTGTAAAATAAAAAAAGAGGGACTGAAATTGGGGGTGAGGGACTCTAAACCACAAAAACATTAACTGCATCTGGAAAATAGCAAAACATTTGAGATGTACAGCCCAAGGTTTGGTTGAGCTGTTGGCAGCATTGCCCACAACCTCCAAAAAGCCCGTCCCCATATTTTTCCTGTCAGCCAAAGAAAGCTTCCTGCTCCAGATTCCTGTGTTAGGCAGTTCACTGATTCCTCTCCCCACCCACAACCTCCTTCTTTCCTCACCACACGAAATGGTGAAGGTTTTACAAGAGGACTGGATATATCCATGGAGGGCAGGCTGTTAGTTACAATCACAATCTACCTCCAGATTTCAGTTGCTGGGCAGCCACAGCGAGGAAGTGCTATATTCTATTTACGTATTATTTGTTTATTTATTGAACACAACACACACACACACACACACACAGTTAACAAGTTTTCTGGATTTCTTTTTAAATTAAATGCAACATGGATGTAATACCAGAAGAAAATTTAAGATGCACATAGTAAAATCAGAAACAGAAGGGGGCCCCCAGCAGGCCCACACAAAGATCTGTAAAGCTTAAAATGTGTTTAAAACCATAAAGCCTCAGAAAATAAAAAAAGAGGATTTCACCAGAATGTGGGTGACATATGAGCCTCTCTGAGGAGGGCATTTTCCAACCAGGGCCACTGAAAAGGCCATTTCCTTTGTATACGTCCAACTTGTGGGCTCTCCCAAGACATTTGGTTAGTGACTATGAAAAGCAGGATGTTGCTACTAGGTAGCTCTTTGGTCAGATCTGGATGAGCACTTTGTATGTTCTTAGCTCCAGCCATGCCTCTCCCACCTACTTCTCTTCAGTTTCTGGCATCCTCTACTCATCCTTCACTCAGGAACGTGCTTCTTAGCTCAATACTTACTCTGTTCTTCACCATCCTTATCCTAGAGTTGTCTGCTTCTACGATCCCTGTTCCCAAGTTCCCTCCTACTTTCTGTTGCTCTCAAGCCTCCCTTAGTTTCTCTCACCCAAGCTGAACTTATAGTTTCTTCACGGAGTTTGCACTGTCAGCAACTTATTGCTGAAACCTTCATTCTGCTGTGAAAATGTAGTAAATGTTCCACAACTTCACAGAAGCACACCACTGCAATAGAGGTTGTATGTTAGTCTATGTTAGAAATGGTTGATTGGACCAGCTCCTAGACTTCATCCAGCCTCTGAGAAGAGTGATATTGTTGCTGGTTCAGAAGCGATGCCTTGCATGCTTTTTGCCTGGAGAGTAATGTTACCCAAAAGATTCATTTCCTTTTGGGTTGGGAGAGGCACTAAGAAGCTTCCAAAACCAGGGGCTGGATCCTCCTGGACTATTTGTCAAGTGCCATGTCAGATGAACCACTGAAAAGTATGTGATAGGAGGTATAACACTAAGTAGTGTCAGATCATGGAATTCCATGCAGAAGAACTATTAAGTATACTACTAGGGTGTAACCCAGCAAACATTTTGAAAGCTTCACTGAAATCCAGAGCTTCTGTGTATTATGAACTGGTGAATCAGTTTATCTGTAGTCCATGACACATTTGCATGCATTCACCCACCAGTCCACATTTATTAGATTTCTTTTTTAATTGGCATTTAGATTCACATTTAAATATGCACCAGAACATGTATTTTAAAGCATCTTTTTATGGTGAAACTTTTTTTATTTTTAGCCAAGAACATCTATGGAAGTGAAAGCCAGTTGATCTGAACATTAGTCCAAGTCAGAGGTGTCAAGTGGGCCTGCTCGCTTCAGAATTCACAAAGGCTGAATACTTCATGCATCCTTGGTGTGCGTTGAATGAGGATTACAGCCAAGAGCTCGGGGCATTATTTAAGTGCAAATATGAATACTGTGTGCAGCTGGTAGTTTCTTCGTAGCCTTCAGTAGCTCTCTAACACTTGTTAAGAGTTGGCCCAGATCAACAAGGGCAATAGCAGCAGTGCAAAACTTTAAAGAAAGCTCCAAGTACATTGAGAACAGGATGCTAGAGAGGTCATTGGCTCAATCTGGCAGGTTTCTTCTTATATCCTTACAGTTTGTCGCACCATTGCATCAAGATCCTTTTTTCTCCTTGTATCCAAGGGGACGTTGAAGAGATGTGGATGAAAACCTGCATGTACTCCTGAAATTTTTGAAAAATAAATTAAAAGGCAGACTAGCAGATTGTTAATGCATTGCTGCCAGTCCTCAAACATGATGGAGCAATTTGCAACCCAAAATCTAAGGGAAGAAACAGAGTGGGGAAAATCCTGCCTTTGAAAGCAGTTGATGATGTACTGCGTAGAAAGCCTCTACTTTTTTGGTGGGGTGGAGAAGAACAATAAAAATCCCTGCTGAGTGTGTGGAGACTCATACCTCGTTACTCATACCTTTGCGTAGAGCAGGGGTGGGCAAAGAAAAAGGTGGCTTGCGGGTCCCGTCACATGTCCCCCAAAGCTGTTCTCTTATAAGAATCCTGAAAATGCCAGCTTAGATTTACAGCAAGCACAAACAGGGTCTGATTGAGCCGTCTTGATAGCTTGAATCAGGAGCTATTTAAGTAACTCCCTGGTTACAAAGGTGTGAGATCAGAATCCTGTCTTAAATGAAGAAGATGGGGAGGGATGTTTAAAGTCAGGAGATTCTATAAGACAATGGAATGGGCTACAAATCATTTGAGGAAACACAATTACATTTGTCAGCTTGACGTTTGCTTCTTTCCTTACTCTTCTGAATGTCACAAAAGAAGGCATAAAGTGCAAGTCTTAAAAGGCAGCATGCATAATAATTACGCCATTTTGCAATCACAGACTGTATCAGCTGCATCCATATCTCCTTTAATAGGAATTTTACCACCAGCATATTTTTTTAAATAATATTGCACTCTAAAGAAACTTAATACAAATAGAGTATAAATAAAGCATGTCTACAAGGGAAAACTATAAGCACCAGCAGAATCCTTATTCCCCAAGGTGTGCTTTTATGAAGAGTTGTGGTTTAAAATCCAAGCATAAGGGGAAAAACAAACATTAGGCAATAGAACCTTGATTCACACTTGCAGTAATCCTTTTAATCCTTTTTTTTTTTTAAAGAACTTGCAACAATAGCATAGCCATGTACTTTAATTGGCATTTTTCAATTGGAAGATCTACATCAGTCACAAAAGAAATTTACAACCTGGGGGGTGGGGGCAAAACCCCCAACAAACCCAGACAAGTTACTCATTTGATGCATCTGATCCAGCCACCAAAATGACAAGCTAACATCATGAGCTACATTGCATCTACAGATCAAAATGCAAAGCATGAAAGATTTTGCCAGGTTCATTTGATTAACTGCACAACAAATCTCTCGCTCTATGAGAGCTGGAGCTATGCAAGCAATACTAATCCTTTATTCAGGAGAACAAAATCCATTTATTTTATGCATGGCAAAATCTTGGAGCCAAACTCACTTGCCTTTCTTATTCGAGATGTCCCATCGGGTTCAAGGTGTTCAGTGGAACTTTTGTGTCTTGTCGAGATTGTTTTTATTAGCGGTGCAGACAATTTGCCAGCAGAGCTCAGAAGGTTTGGGTAAGAAGTCAGAAAGTTGGCACAAACCTCATTGGAGGATTACAGAAGAATTAGTTGTGCACTGCAAAGCAAGATCAAACAAACAGGAAAGTATAGCAGAGGAGAGACAGAGAGAGGAAACAAAGTCTTCTGTGCTGCACTTCATTCATATTCACCTGCTCACAGTCTGCGATAGGAAAGTGGGCATCAACTGATTGCCAGTTTGTCTCTATACCCAACTCAAAGTTTGCATTTGGTCAACTTTTAGAGCAGTAGACTGCATGACGAACTGTCCTGAGATCTCCAAATAAAGGGTGGTGTATAAATTTAATAAATAATAATTTAAAAATAATGCCGGGACTATGCAACACACTTGGGGTGGAATCTACACACATATAAAAACTGTTCTGAAAAAGCTTTTAAAAAAATGTTTTTAAAAAGACATTGAATTTTCCATAAGGCTCATCATCACCATCTAGTATCACATTGCATATTGTATATTGTACTTAAAACACACTTAAAATGTTCTATTTGCAGCTATATAGCAGGAGGTTGGACTAGATGACCCTTGGGATCTATTCCAACTCTACATTTCTATGATTCTATGATCCCACTGAGTCACAGCAGTGTACTGCGATGGAAAGAGGGGGGAGTGTTTGCAGGCAAGGACAGCAGCTAAGCTGTGGCTACTTAGATTACATTGGCAGGGCCAATCCATATCTTCCATCAGTATGCCTGCGTAAACCCAACCTCACTGTCATCCTGGCACGTTTTCATCCCAATCCAGGTAATCCGCAGTGACCCCAGTGTTTGCAAGGCAGCTGCGTGGCACCACCCCAGCAAAGACCAGCTGCTACTGGTCCAGGGCATTGCGAAAGATGGAAGAAGGTGTCTAGGCTGCCAACACAGTAACAGTAACGCCAACAGCAGAACCTTAATCTGATGTTCCAACAATGGCCACTTGGTCAATCATTCCAGGGTAATGTGTGAGGCCAACATTTGACGCCTTCCCCCCAGCCCTTGCAGCTCCAACTTAAGCCAGCCAAAGAAGGCGCCAGGCTTTGGGGAGGAAGTGCAAGGCTCTGGCAGGGTCCTGGAGCCCTCCCTCCTTCTTCCCAAACTGCTATAAGGACATGCCTGGCTTTGGGAAGGAGGTGGTGGGACTCTAGGACCCTGCCAAAGTCCTCACACCTAATTCCCAAAGCCAGGGCAAGCTCTTACTGGGCTTTGAAAAGGTATCCTCAGCTGCAAGCCCAGTGCCCCCACACTGCTTGCGCTGCCCTAAATCCACCTCTGCTCCCTCTGCTGAGTCTCAATTTCCCATAAAATATCTGTTGCCATTGCTTACAAAGAGCGGAACAACTATTCAAGGCAGACCTTAGAATCCAACCAGATTCAGTAATTCCATACAGAACAAATACCCTATTTATTAATTCTTCTTCATCTAGGTTAACACTTTTGCATATGCTTTTGTTCTCTCTCTCATCTTATTCTCAGTATCTCATGACCACACTCTCCTTTCAATTGTCTTTTTGAGAGGCCATTTTTGCACAGTTCTGCCTAAAAGCCCAAACTCCTTGCAACTCAAATCCCTGTTTTATTACACCAGATTTTTTTTTTTTTTAAGGTGGTGGTGATGGTTAAAATTGGTTTTCTCATTTGATGCTTTTACTAAGAAGCAATTCCAGTTTGACTCTACCTTAGTGCCCAGATTGTTTAACAAGCAGGCAGGTTACTGATCCTGGATGCTCTATGACTAAATGAACTGGATCAGAGAAGGGGGGTGGGGTGGGATGTAGGCATGTCCAGTTATCTCAGGTTTGCAGATGGCCACCACTGCATATATTACCCCTCTATACAGAGCATGGCATTTCATTTGAATGTTTTATAGACGCTGTTGTTCCTCCTGATATTGGTAGCATTTATTATGCTCTCTTTTTTAAACAGTTTTGCCATGCAAGCAGCCCTAGCTCAGCAACATTTTGAATTAGATGCCTCATTTGAAGAAGAAATGCTTTGTTTTGTCACCCTAAGCAGTAATATTTTCCTCTGTCGTCCAATATTTGCTTAGTGCTGTTGTGGAATTCTTGGAGTTTCCAAGAAAAGGCTGGGTGGGAATTTTTCAGGGATGCTTTTGGAATAAGGACTATGATCCAAAGAACTGCCTAGGCCTACACAAGAAGCTTCAGTTAGTCCAATGGGATTTTAGGATATTCCCTCCACACACACCACCACCACAAACAGCTACATATCCTCCATGCCATATGACAAACAGTTTTTGAAATTCCCCTCAGTCAGCATGGAGAGTCTTCTCTTCAAAGAAAGCAAGTTGGGGAGTGTGTTTACTCAGAAGTAAACAGAACTGAGTGGAACTTTCTCTGAAGAAAAAGGGGCAGAGGTCTGCAGTCTCATATTCTCCTGGGCTTGCTTGACAATTTAAGCTTAGATTGTTAGCTTCTTATAATGAATGCCACTGATCTTTCCCAACTCCATGATTCTGTGACGTGACTCATCTATTATAGTTTTTCTTCTCTATCATTCTTCCATGGAAATCAGGGAGTTGATAGGGAGCTGTGTACCCATAGTTGTACCCATATTCCATATAGCAGTCACAATAGCAAGGAATTGGCTAGAGAGAAGAATAAAAGTATTTATCCAGAGACAAAATATTGCAGTGCACTTTTCTGTGTAACAAATATGTATTTGTTGCATGAGAAGAATGCCCATGTGGCAAGAGCTTGTAAAAAAATAAATGGTGGAGTCATTCTTAATCATTATTATTCTCTCATCCTAAAGCACTTTAATTCAGCTTTACACCTAAGAATGAATGGGCTGCATTTGCACCATTTTTATGCTTAGACAGCTAAGAGCATTCCTTTCTTTCACGAATTGATTAAAATGAATATGACGATAGTAATCACCATTAAATATTCAGTATCCTCCATCTTGTGCACTTCTCTAACATGACAACTACTACAGCAAATGCCATTGTATGATAGATAGCAAACCTTTAATGGCAATAGAATGTTAGGTACACTACTTCCAAAGCTTCTGTTGTGCTGGTATCATCCTACGTGATAATTAATGGTAACTTAAATAGAAGTAAATGCTCTTAAGGCATTTAGGTATGCGCTAAGATTTGGGCACATACATTTTTCATTACCGTTTACAAAAGCAACAGTAGAAGAGATATGACTACAAATCAGTTCAAGAAAATGTCACATGTAAAAGGTAAAAAAAGGTAAAGGACCCCTGGACAGTTAAGTCCAGTCAAAGGCAATTATGCGGTTGTGGCTCTCATCTCGCTTTTCAGGCCAAGGGAGCCAGCATTTGTCAACAGACAGCTTTCCGGGTCATGTGGCCACTTCTGGAGCAATGGAAACGCTGTTCACCTTCCCACCGCAGCAGTACCTATTTATCTACATGCATTTTGACATGCTTTCGAACTGTTAGGTTGACAGGAACTGGGACAGAGCAACGGGAGCTCACTCCGTTACGGGGATTCGAACCGCTGACCTTCTGATTGGCAAGCCCAAGAGGTTCAATGGTTTAGACCACAGCACCACCCATGTCCCATGTATGCTCTGTTGGATGCATTCACCATCACTCTAACTACTTAGAAATTTTTAAGTGGATGCATTCTATATCATTAGAACAATTACAGTGTTCTTGGATGAGTAATGGCAATGTGGAGACATGTTGTAGTTTGTGTGGAATGGACTTCATGGTGGTGAACGCTAGTATCTGCTACCTTCTGTGTTGCCAGTACAGGCCACTGGGAAAAGAAAAATGCAACTGAAATTCATTATCCTGTTCTATATTGAAGTCTCTTCATTTGTCTTCCCTAACTAAGAACTCTTTCTTTGACTTTATCTTTTACTCTGTAATGGGCTGTCCATTCTTTGATTTTAACATTTCGTTTCTTTTTCTTCTAGCTATCCATTCACCCTGCTTGCCGACTGGGGCAGTTGAACTATGGAGCTTGCTCCTGCAATATGCAGCAATGGCCACCAACTTGGATTGCTTTAAAAGAGGATTCATGGAAGCTATTTCTATCAGATAGCCATGATGGCTCTGCTTCCATGGTCAGAAGAGGCATCCTTCTGAATTCCAGTTGCTGGAAACTGAGGATGAGAGAGGGCTGTTGTGCTTGGGTCCTGCTTGTGGGTTTCCCACAGGCATCTGGTTAGCGGTGAGAACAAATTCTGGACTAGATCTTCCTAGGTTCGTAGCATTCAGTGCATTCTGGGTGGCTTATAAAAACAATAGTTCTACATTGTTTTTTGAGGTTCTACCAGTATTGGGCAACATGGTGGACAGGCACTGCTCACCTGAGTTCTGGATGGTTCCATTACTGCTGCTTACCAGGAAGTAAAGGAGAAGAGGCAAGGTGGTAGTAAGGTTGACACGGTGCAAATGCATTGTCAGGAATGCTGGATTGGCTCTGCCAGTGCATTTACACCATGCTGACCCCCTGTTACTTTGCCTCTCCCCCTCTACTCCCTGGTAAGCAGCAATGACATTACTGACCAGAGGTCAATTGCCCACCACACTGGGTTCAACATGGGGTCCACAACTGGTAGACTGAAGTCTGTTGACTTCCGAGGGATGAAGCCAACTTACAGAGATGCCTAAATATTTCTGTATTTGTTAAACTGATATATGATTAAAATAAATTCTGGTCATTAGAATATCTGTTCTCTTCAACTAGCTGTCATAACATTTTATAGGATGTCTCAAGAAAAGTTTGTCAAAATGCAAAAGTTCCAACACAGTTACATATTTCTACACTCATTAAATACAAAGCCTTGACTGTATTTAACTCTGTCGGAGTGCAGACAAGATCTATCCCCCCCCCCCCACTTTGCAGCACTGAATAAAAATAAAAGATATATTAAAACAGATATAAGAGAAAACATAATATCCATAGTGAAATATTTCCCCTAATGTGTGACATATCCAAACCTAATATTATCTTTCAGTGGGGTCTGCTTTTGCCTAAAATAAACAGTACACACCCCTTGATGTACTTGGTCAAGTAACCTTTGCTATGCCACCTATTGAGGCCTACAAGTCTATGAGTCTCTATAGTTATCAAAATATATATTTACATTTCAGTATTCTATGAATCTGAGCTTGTTTTGATAATATGTATTGCAGGCCTTTTGATGGTACTAATAAACAAAATGAGAATGAATCCAGTGACCATAAAGTGTACGTCTATAGAGAAGCCAAATGAAAATAGACACTCGGCAATGCACTATGCAGAGAAGCAGAAAGATGGCAGTCTCTTTATGAGATCAAATTCTTTGAAGTGAAATTAAAATGGTCTAAACAAATTGGGGCTTCCTCCTCCCCATTTCAAAGCATTTGCAATTGTCATTGTCCTCATTGTTCCAGTATATCTTGAATATTGGAACATTTTGTTTTAATGAAGTGATGCCTAATGGGAAATCGCCCAATAAGCACCAAAGTGTAATATGCCTTCTTGTAAAATTCAGTACTGGAGCACCGTTAATCTGTCTTTCAAAAATTTTATTTAGATTTTTTATTTATTTTGGTGTCTGCTTGCCAAATGCTGATAGCTCCTATTGGCGCTAAACTTGTTGAGCTATGGAAACTTTGCCTCTCAATTTGTTGCCACAGACACCTTCACTTCCCTGAGGCAACCTGCTAGTACCTGAATGCAATGAACTTTCATTAATGGTAGGACAATTTCACTCACACAGAGATCACTTCTATGAGCAGAATTCTCCTTTACATGGTTGGAAGTCCCCTCTGTTTACAGGGGAAAAAAATGAAGGATGGAAGCCAGTATAAATCAGTTGACAGTATCCTGGTGTCTGTTATCAGTGGAAGGAAATATTGTCAGTCCTCGCTGGTGAGCTTCTCTGAAGCATCTGTCTTGGCACCATTGTTGCACAAAATGCTGACCAGATGGACCAGATGGATGGGGAACCTTTGACACTGTGAATGTTGGCAAGGATTGCTGGGACTGAAGAGAGTTCAGTAACAGCTGGAGGGCGTAAGGTCTTCAGACATATCACTGGCTTGATTTGGCATGGGCATGCTTATCATAGAATCACAGAATTGTAGAGTTGGAAGGGTCCCTAAGGGTCATCTAGTCCAACTTCCTAGGAATCACATCTAAATTATCCATGAAAGATGGCCATTCAAACCGCCAAGGAGAGTCCACCAGCTTCTGAGGGAGCCCATTCCACTGTCGAACAGCTCTCACTGTCTTTAATGATTCCTAATGTTTAGTTGGAACCGCCATTCTTGTAACTTGAATCCATTGGTTCGGGTCCTACCCTCCAGAGCAGGAGAAAACAAGTTTGTGCCATATTCCATGTGGCAGCCCTTCTAGATACTTGAAGATTACATTTACTTACTTACTTCAAGCCAATTCGATAATAGCCATAATTGCACAGTTAATGTGGAATAATTACCCATTTAAAAGCATTTATAAACCATTTAATACAAAATAGGGACGCAGGTGGCGCTGTGGGTTAAACCACAGAGCCTAGGACTTGCCGTTCAGAAGGTCGCGGTTTGAATCCCCGCCACAGGGTGAGCTCCCGTTGCTCGGTCCCAGCTCCTGGCCAGTTCGAAAGCATGTCAAAGAGCAAGTAGAGAAATAGGTACCACTCCGGCAAGAAGGTAAATGGCGTTTCCGTGCGCTGCTCTGGTTCACCAGAAGCGGCTTAGTCATGCTGGCCACATGACCCGGAAGCTGTACTCCGGCTCCCTCGGCCAATAAAGTGAGATGAGTGCCGCAACCCCAGAGTCGGCCACGACTGGACCTAATGGGCAGGGGTCCCTTTACCTTTACCTAATACAAAGCTAAAATAAACATTTAACATAACAAGTAAATTTGATATAAAAAAAACATAAAAGTAATAGAGGTAGAACAGAGGAGTGCTTGTATCTGCCTCTCCAATATGGATCCTCACCCGGCCAAGTCTGTCAACAGGACTGCTCACTGCCAACATCAAACATGGCTACAAAGTTTGTGAAACATTAGTAAACTGCTCTTACAGGTAAATTTTTAAAAGTAAGTTAATAAAAAAGTAGAAACTGAATAAAGAAATCGCGGGTTATGCAAATGCCTCCAAGATGAAAGTTAAAATAGATGTTGGTATAAAACATCTCAGGGTATTATTTTTATACCTGCAAAAGTGATAGGTACTGTATAATCTCAGGTCTCTGATGTGCTCTGGTGGTAACATTAATTTTATATTCCATCAAAAACACCTTTGAAAATGTCTGTTAAAATATTTAATTGCAAGGTGCTTTTTCTTCTTTTCTTTCCCTCATCATCTTTACACAGTATTGTTCTCAGAATCAAACCTGCAGCATTTATAACTTTGACAGCTGTCTAGGGAAGGGAGGCAATCACGTAGTGTAAAAGGGTGAGTTCTAGTGGCAGTTAAATCATGGAAAACTCAGCTGTTTATTGATTGCATAGGTTAGGTTTTGTTTAATTTGACATTTGCAGAGACTTAGAACAGAAAGGGTGCTGATCTGCAAGCCTACAGGCACCTGAGAGTTTTCAATACTTATGGAATACAAAGCTTCATTCCCATTGGAAGGCCCAAGGCCACCAGAGATTTGGTAAATCGTTAATAATCATAGGATCACACAGTTGGAGTGGGGCCTGTGGACCATCTGTTTGGTGCAGAAAATCCAGAGCCTCTACTTGAAGACTTCCAGGTAATATGTTCCATTGCTGAACTTCTCTTACCATTAAGAAGGTTTTCCTAATGTTGAATCAAAATCCTGTAGCCTGAGAGCATTAGATATAGGCTTGAACCCTAGGTCAGGTGTAGGGGAACCTTTGGTCCTCCAAATGTTGATGAACTACAGCTCCCATCAGCCCCAGCAAGCATGGCCAATGGTCAGGGATGATGGGAGTTGTAGTTCAGCAACATCTGGAGTGTCAAAGGTTCCTCACATCTGCCCTAGGGCAAGCAGAGTAGGAAGAGGAAGGCACATTTAGGAGAGAAGATAGAGTCTAAAGAGTCCAGATGGAAGAGAAGGTGTTTTGATGCAAACTCCACCTGCCAACATTATTTGGGCATTACAAATACAAGAGTTAGGGTTTCTTTCCCATCTCATCATGCTGTTCAAAACTGGAAGGTCTCTTTGAGAGCTTCAACCGGCAGCTGGATGTGAGGGGGTGAAGTTGCAGCATCACCTTCCTGACATTGGTGCCGCTACTGCTCTCAGGATCAAGGGAGGGGCAGAGTGAGGTGGTGAGATTAGGGGAGCTCTTGGCTGACAGCTCTGGTTTTTGGGAAGTTGACCCTGCCAACCACCAGTGCCCACATTGGTGACCCCGTTGTAATCCTTACGGTAACCCAGTTATATTCAGGCAGTATTGTGATTCTTCATATTGCAGACGTGGGCACTGAGACTGAGAGTGTGTGCCTTGCTTAAGGCTGCCTATTGAGTATATGGCAGAGGTAGCTATAAGTGGCTGCCAATAACTACTAGCCATAATGGCTATGCTCTGTGATGTCACACATGACATCAGACCCCCCCTTACACTCCCAAGATGGAGCCTCTGAACAGAGATGAAGCAAAGAGCTAGAGCTAACACACACACACACACACACACACACAGAGAGAGAGAGAGACAGACAGACACACACTTTATGCAGCTTTCAGTAGTTCCTAATAAGGAATTGCTTCCTTGATGTAAAGAACCCATTTATTTCAGGTAGCAAATGCTTCTTTGCGGACCAGGTTAATGACTCCTGTTTACCAAAACCATCTCTTTCTTCCTTTCTAAACTTAGGGGACTCTTGTGGAAAATAGATATTAAAAAAAACAAACAAGCCCTCCACACATTTCATCAGAAGCCTGTTTTAAAGTTCCTGAACAGACATTCTGGTCTAATGATCTCTCATAACTAGGAGACACTGTAGCACCTTTACCTCTATATTTTTCCTAGTACTGCTGCAGTAAAATGCCCTCTGTAGCCCTTCTGGCTAATTAAGAGATGGAGAATAAAAATACTGCAGGAATGTAATGCCTTCCCTAAGCTACCTATTTATATTCACAAAGCAAGCATAGCTTAAGTGAATGCAGGCATTTCAAGGTTTTGGTGGTTCTTTGTTTATGGCCCATTGATATCTGCACTGTCAAATTTCCAGCCTTGTCAGGAAAAAGCAAATATTACTCCCTAGCCTCCTACAGCTTAGCTGAGACATCCAAGAATTCATTATAAATTGGTGGTGGGAGGGGGGATGATTATGCATTATGAATTAGTGAAGACTGACAGGCAGCAGCTAGACTATATGCTACCTCTCCAAGGCCTTGCAAAACTGCCTTGCGAATCGGAGTCACGAAGAGGGAAGAGGCGAATATTTGAAAGGGGCACTTTAAAAAGTGACAACTTCTGAACGATTATGGCGGTCCCAGCCTGAATTGTACACACTGTCCCTCAAGCAGGACTCAACTCAATTGTTATCATGGCTCCCTTGAATAAGGAATTTGCCCCTTCATCAAACTGGAAAAGTCTTGCTGTCCTCCTCTTCCTTTTCCTCCTTTTTGAGTAAGAAGTTTGATTTATTTTCAGAATGGGCATGAGTAGGGAGCTTGAAGAGTGACAGTCTTGGGTCAGAAGAAATGTAGTTAAATGCTGTTATGTACTGAGTTGAATAGGATCCCAAATGCAGCAGTCTGATTGGTCCTAGAACAATAGGATTCAGAATGCAGCAGTCTGATTGGTCCTAGAACAATGCAGCAGTATGATTGGTCCGCAGGAGCCACCCAATCCAGCTCCAGGTGGTAGTGAATCCACAACTTGATTGGCCTACAGGATAATCCCAGAATTAGCCAATCATGTGCGGCCCATTGTTTAAATAATGTATATTGCAAGTATATTTCATATATAAAGCAGATATTTGGGGGGAACTTGCATTCCTCGCTACTATGAGCTGAATAAAGAGCACGAAATCCACACTCGACTCCGAGTACATTTCAAATGCCATTCCGTTTTGTAGACCAGTCTTCTTTTTGGATAATTTAGCTGGCTGCTGATGCTGACTGACATTTTAAAGGCTCCCAGAGTGGTCTACAAAAATCTGTGAGAAGATCGTAGGGAACCTGCCATCAGGTTCCTCATCTGAGAGACAAGACACAAAAGGAAAAGAGACTGGGCAGGGAGGAAGGAAGGAAAAAGCAAGTTTGGTTGCTAATTCCTAGTAACAGAGATCTAATAATGAAGAGTACAAAGAGAAGAATATGTGGAGAGGTGACAACAGGCCTCTGCTTCATACCACAATTCCTGGCAGTGGAGTCACTTCCACTTACTGGTTCCGGAGAGAGGGGGAAGGTGATGGAGCAGTCAGGGATGTGAAGTCACATCAGCAAAACCAATCCTGTGTGCCTGCCAATGTGCCCACATGGCATCAACCTCCTCACCACCTCATTCCTGGTAGGCGGCAGCAACTCCACTGACCGGGAGGTCTTGGCTGTGGCACCGCTCCTCCTCAGCAACTGCTCCCAGGAATCTTGAGTTGCAGGTCTTTCGACAGGGCCAGTGGAGTGGTCCTGCAGTCCCATCTGCCTCTCTCTCAACCTGCTGGAATGGCTGCTGTAAGTGAGGCAGAGTGCCAACTGGAGGAAGAATATTTATTTAAGAATTGTTTAAGAATAAATATTTATTTATAGGTGTATTTGGGGGTCAGCATTTAGTTTTGGCTGAGCTAAACTGTTTTTGCTGCTATTGGGGCATTTTGTTCTTCAGTTTTAGGGTATCGTTTCAATATTTATTAATGTGAGATGTTTGTTTGTCCTGTTAATATTAGTATGTCTATTTATTTTAATTATTAATTAATTATCCTGAAATGTTGCCGTATTTTATTCCATGTGTTCTTGTAAGCCACTTTGAGCATGGTTTTGCCATGGAAAGTTGGCATACAAATAAACTCATGGTGATGATGATGAATGTATTTGGTGACTTTTCCTTGTTAAGTTTTGCTTGTGTTGATTTTAAATTTTGCTTGGTTTTGCTTCCTTTGGGAGCCAATTGTATTGTGTTATAATTTGAACCACATGTGGAAGAGGGAAGACCTGGAGCATGCCCAGAATGCCTGTTCTGTCTGATAACAGAACTGGCTGCTTCCTTTTTCAGATGGACCTTATTTGCCACCAATGGGAGGGGCTTTCTTGACAATGGAGTCCCAGTTTTAGAATGCCCTCCTTAAAGAGGCTTGCCTGATACCTGCAACCTCCATTGAAATCCTTTTGGTGGGGGCAGATACTTTCTTCTTCACTCAGGCAATGCAATCTGTTGCAAATTTTAATTGTGAAGGATTTTGATCTGTTGTTCTATTACTGTACTTGTGCTGTGATACAACTGACTGCACACAGCCCCAACATCCTAAGCAGGATGCTTTGGATAAATGCAAAGCATATAAATGCTTTAGATAACTAGATATGCAAAGTAGAAAGCAAATTATAAAGAAAGCAAATTATAAAGAAGCAATCTCAGAGGTTCTATGTGGTTGGACTATATATATCCTTACTACCAACCTCGTGCACTTAAAAACCTCCTATCACAGACTTTTGTGTGTTAGGGATGGTTGAGGAATTTGATGTTTGCAAATTCCTATGTGGAAAAAAATTACATGATCTTGCAAAAAAAAAATTACCTGAACTTGGACTAATATAGCTGTCTACCAGATTTCATACTTGTCCAAATATGGTGATGCAGTTCTCAGCAGTTTAGTTGTTTCCAAATATGTGGTGAAAATATTATGAATGGAAGTGTAATTGCAGATATATGGATATATTGGGTCAACACCTGCAAAAAGTAACATGGATCAGACCATTAGAGTAATTTTTTTTTAAAAAAGGTGATCAGGCACATCCTGCAACACCAGGGGTCACACAGTGATACTGCATCCATTCAGAAATACAGCTCACTGGCCTACCTAGAGAGTTTTAAGGACACATTTTTCTGACGAAATGCCATTCGGTGAAGTTGATTAGGCAATGCACTTTAAAAGTAAACAACATGGGGTTAGAATGTGTGTATGTGTGTGTGTGTGTGTGTGAGAGAGAGAGAGAGAGAGAGAGAGAGAGAGAGAGAGAGAGAGACAGAGAGAGATTCTAAAAGGATCTGTACTGGGGCTTTTGAGCTTTAAGTCTGAAGTTTGGAGCAAGCAAGTTGTGAGCACTGGCAGAGGAAGAAGAGTGCGGGGGAGCGCAGTGCGATCCCAGTGGGGTGCCATCGTGGCTGCCCCCCCCGCCTGCACTGGGTGCCACACCCCCAGGACATGTGCCACACCCCTGCAGGTGGTGCGCCATACCCCTGGGACATGTGCCAGCCCCACCTGCTCTCCTCCCCCGGGTGCCGGAGCATGAAACTCCACCACTGGCTGTGAGATAGCCATATTTGCTGATGACACCAAACTATAGGGCGGTAAAAAGCAAAAGGAATTGCAAGGAGCTCAGAAGAGGAGAGAGTGGTGGTGTGCTCATGTCCTCCTTGCAGGCTTTCTGTTGATATCTGGTTGACCACTGTAAGAACAGGACACTGGACTAAATGCAACTGGGGCCTTCTGCATGCCAGGCAAATTCTCTCCTACTGAGCTCTGGTCCTTCCCTTGAAGTTTCTCTAAGATGCCAATAACATTCATTTGAAAGGCATTCTGATCCATTTTGCCAAATTACACGATCTCATCCAGAAAAATAGAAGTGTGGTCAGTCATGCAGTCTGTCACATATGCAGGAAACAAGAGAAGGGCAGGAGAAACCTTGGGGGACCTTAAAATGAAAATGCAATTTACAGGCAGAACAATAACTAAGTAAACAAAGTATCTGGATAATGAACGAACAGTGGTTATTATCAACAAGGTAGATGTGGCAATATGGTCCCCAGCTGTCTCTTGTCAACTGAGGGACTGATTATCTGTGAAAAGATGTCTTTTTGTGAGAGACATGCATGAGATAGGAATTGCAGTAGAGCTTGCATGCTGAGAGTTTCATGGGGGACCTCCCCATCTTCATGTCTGATTCTATTATCACCTAATGATGATGCCTGGAGGTTACTTATTATCCCCTCTGCTGAAAGGAGACTATCTGGTGTGTTTTTTGGAACTACTCTTTAGATACTAGATTTCTGAAGAAGACGTTTGCAGTGGAATTACTTTGCACAGAGTTGATATTTTGTGTGTGCAATGGGACCTGCTACATCACAGGAAGGCATCGTGTCCTTCCACAAAAAGTCTTAGAAAATACCTCCTCAAAAACCCACAATGCACAAGAGACCGTTTCCTCTTACTTCTCAGTTCCTGTTTGCCCTGACTCAGCCTCTCCTATGTTGACCACACACCCTTAAACATGCTGACATTTCATTGGATGCCCGGACAGAACACCCAAGCTCCTTTCTGAACAGAGAAGAGGTGCAAAGAGTGTGGGAGTGGTTCTTATTATTGATTGGGTGTGTGTGAGGGGATATCTGCATCATTTTGTTCCAAC